TTCGTCTAGCTGTAAGTTGATACAGATGCTTATACACAGAAAACGTAAGTATGTTGCATGTAATATTCCCTCCACGACCGCTGACTTTATATTTCTAGACTATAGATTTCTTAGAAATTTACCTGGAGGTGATATAAAAGACTTACATGTTCTTCAATTCCAATGTAAAAAACCACTTTGACACTTAGTAAGCCTAAAAGCAAATATGTAGTTTTAAACGTAATCTTAACGAACAGTGAACACAAACTTTAAACAGGGAGAGTTCGCGGTTCTTGGTTCCTTAGTGTCGTCCTGAGTCCTGAAGAAAATGTAACGTTCACCCTATGTACACAATTTTATATATTTTTATACATATTTTTTAATTATAATATGATCTAAGGGAAATTTCCGTTTAGGTATAGGATGAGCCGAAAAATCAGTCTGAAATCTTAAAGAAATCATGACGTGTTCCTAGATGGACCCTTCGGTTTTTTAGCTACAACTCGAGAAAGAGCTCTTCGCAAATTCATTATTTTATGTCACCGCCTTTAGGGTACACCATTTTCGGTTCATAACTTTAGCTAGCTCGCTAGTTGGCTGACGTACCAACAGTCAAAATTATCATACTATACCAATAAATTAAAGTAGGCCTTGAAAGAATTGCATTTTTTGAATCATAACTTAAGATCAAAGATTTTTTCGCATTTTATACGTCCCGATGGGTAACCGATCCGCTGCTTGGAAAGATGTTTTTAGGAATCCGTAGATAAAATGAATAACGAAACCATATAAAAAATATGAAACGCCACAGTTACATCTAAATGTAAAAAAATGATTCCACATTTGCATATAAAATGAAGAAGATGTTTCTGAACAACTTTTGCTTTTTTTTTGTAAAAATTTAGTATTTGGTCACTTTTATATATAACTAGCAGAACCCGCGGCTTCGGCCGCGATCAAACTATGAAAAAAAAACTTTTTCGCAAACTATACTTTACTGTTTGTAAAAATAAGTTCGTGTTTCATATTATTTCTTAAGTTTAGGTATTTAACATGCTCTACTGCCTCTATTTTTTTGCACATTTTTCTACTCCATATTTCTAAAGTAAGAGTAAGAGAGTACAATGATACTACTCGCAAAAAAAATATATTTTCCTATTTCTTATCTTAAAGCTAAATTCCACTTTGTATATATTTCACACATGAATGAATTAGCCACTTCTTTATCCATTTAGTAGTTTTTGCGTGAAAGAATCGGTAAATCCTCATAACTTTCGCATTTTTAATAATAGTAGTAATGTGTGCAAGAAGAGCCCAGTAGAAATATTATCTAGTGTTTTTCTATAAATAACGAGCACGTTGTAATTAATGAAGATAGTGATGATGACTAATAAAAGTATTTTTTTATGAATATCGGTTTAATTTCTATTGAGAAAATATATATTCGATTTCCTTTTAAACCTTTCGTGCCCAATATTGAAAAACTAAAAATGTAATGCACGTTAAAAGTGCCAACATCACTATGTTGTATTTATATATATTTTTTTCAAAGTGGTAATTTAATTAGATCTGATAGAAATCGATACCCAAAATTTTTATTTACGTTTTTCAATACTTTTATTTAGGCTTGGTCCATAAAAAATGGCTACCAAATAAAATATAAAGTGTACTATAACACTTACATTTTTGTTTTCCTAGCTTTGAAATTAACTAAGATATATCGCTTTGAAAAAAAGTCGTCCCCGGACGCTTTTGTTCAAATAGCTCCTCAAATAACTAAGGTATAGAGCTAATATCTACTCGATCAACTACTGTTGGTATCCTCTACAATATAACATTGGTTACGATACAGGTTCCTATCGGGGGCACTTTCGCCATAGAAGTACGGCTAGACCCTTTCATCAAAATCTGACCAGTGGTTGTCTCGTGATGCAGTAACAGACAGACAGACACAGACAGACAGACAAAAATTCTAAAAACTATAGATTCGGCCTCTGTATCGATAATAATGACTATTTCAATAAGATTTTCCAAAAAATACTTAATGTACAGATTCGACTTAGTTACAATTTTATTATATGTATAGATAGATAATAGCTTTTGAAATATGGATTGTAAGAAAAATTAAAATATTTTCAATAAAAAATATTTTGATGATGATGTACCGATAACTTTTTGAGGAGTATATATACTCTTTGAGATATTGGACATTTTCGGTTTCTCGCTTTGCACTCGTCGTCCATCATACTTTTGTAACTCACTTTTATAAAATTCTATGAAGTATAAAATTATTTTTGAAACCGATACATGAATATTGTGAATGTCGTGTTTGTCCGAATTTTACTACATAATTGTTAAATTACAGTAAAGTAACAAATAATAGAAACTTGTGTAGTAAAGTCAGACTCATGTTAGGGTTTTCTTTATAAAATCTTATTTCTAAGTTTATTAATACATTTGTATTGTGTGGTGGTAAAGGACCCTTCAATAAAGTACACTTGACTGGTTGTTATAATCTTAGGTTTGAGCTCTGCGTTTATTTGTTTTTTCTTGTAAATACGCAAAACGAAGCTCAGGTGATTCTTTGGGTAACAAAACGTTGGCTCACTACTACAAGATTCTATGTTACAATTTTAGTACTTATTTAGTTATTAATGCTACAAGGTTCTATGTATCATTAGCTACAGTTTTGCAAAAACAAACCACTAGATAGCGGCATTATAACTACAAAATATTCAATTTGACATAGTTCTATGTTGTTTTTTTTTACGATAGCAAAATAACGAAGTTCTATGTAAAAATTACTAAACTTCATTAAAATTAATATAGAACCTTGTAATAGTAAGTCAACGAAATGTGTGCTCGACTAAAGTATCATTAATATTTTTTTTTGTTATGTTATCCTTAGCTTTCAGTATCTCTTTGACAAAACGTGAAAATTCGATCGAAATTCACGAGAAAACATTTAAAAGATAAATGTAATGAAAACCACAATTTTTTAAATTATTACGATGTATAGAACCTCCACGTGTTTGAACTTACACTTGACTAATTTTTAGCCATCAATATCCATTAAGCCTTTTTCAAACTTTATTAAGTAGAAAAAATATGATGAAGTGGTGCTTCTTTACGAGCATGACTTTCAAGTCATAAAACATAGGATTGGTTATAGTAATTTTCTTTTATATTAATTTTATATTTACATACTATGACTTAAAATATATCTACATATATATTAATAAAAATATTATATTAAACTTATAACAAAGATGTTTTTTTTATTTTTATATTTATTTTAAGAGTAGGTAATTTTCTATTTTAAAATAATACAGATCCTCGTAAGTACTTACATAATTACGAGTATATAGTAGGTATGTGAGTGGGAATAGTGTGTGGGTGGGAAATTCGTTTCGATTTGACGAAGCAAGTAAAGAGCTCTTGAGTTTTTTAAGCGAGATTACGTTCAATTTATTACAATTCTGTGGCAAGACCTCAATTTCTTTCTCGTTATCAAATTACGTATGAGTCATAAGGTTAGCTATATGTCATCCTTTTAAATAAAACTATCTTTTCGGATTTTTTCGCGGATTTATTTTGATTTTGGTTCCCGACGTTTCGAATGCTTTACAGCATTCATGGTCACGGGAGAGCTGAGGTGTTAGATGTCTCGAAGGTATAGTTGATGATACATGGTTATCCGGATCAACATATAAGATACTTTTTACTGCGGGAAAATGTCTCATCTCTGAAAAATCTATACTAAACGTTAAAACTTAACGTTAGTAAAAAATAAAAAAAATGTAATAACAGCGCATTGTTTCCACAAAAAACAAAATCGCGTACAAGAAATCCATTTCGCTCCGATATTCATTGCATCGCGAAAAGCTAGTGGCATTAAGCGGAAGAGGCTTTTATGCAATCAATGGCATTTTGCGCCACCCGTCAGACCAATACAACTTCAGGAAATTGATTATGGTTGCTGTTTCGATTCACGATGATATAATTTTAAGTAATTACAGTTTATTACTAACTAGTATTGCCCGCGGCTGCACCCGCGTTCAAATGACCAAAAACCTAATTCTTAGGTTTTACATATTAGTATACTCTTACATTGCAGTTTTTGTATTTTTTCTCAGAAATGAGATATTTTCCTGCGGTAAAAAGTATCCTATATGTTGACCCGGATAACCAACTATCACCATACCAAATTTCATCAAAATCCCTCCAGTGGTTTTTCTGTGATGCGGTAACAGACAGACAGACAGACAAAAATTCTAAAAACTATAGATTCGGCCTCTGTACCGATAATAATGTCTATTTCAATAATATTTTCCAAAAAATATTTAATGTACAGATTCGGCTTAGTTACGATTTTATTATATGTATAGATAAATGAACCCTTTCAGGTTTATACTACGAGTATGTTTTATAACTATAAGATCTCCTGAATAATGAGATATTTCGTTTTCATAATAGCCCATTATTTTATAGATATAAAGCTAAAATAATGTTATTACTTTTATCGGACTCATTTTAATAAATAAATATTAAATTACCTACAGATAGTGTTACACGAATATGATGTTTCTAGGAAAAAAAATTTACACTAAATATAGCCTCAAAAATATTAGTAAAGACAATATAGACATTTATTAGGTATAGTAAATGTTACTGTTCCACTTTAAGCTATTTTTGGGCAATGTTTGTCTGGTATCTTTGAACACTGCCATCTTCATGCCTTAGCAAAACTGTGTCAAGTTTGCAATGACATTTATGAAAAAATAAAATGCTCTTAGATAGGTTTTTTATACCAACAGTTCTTAATCTATATATTTGAAATATAATGTTGAATTAGACTACTAGGGATACTGGAAGTTGACAATAAAAGCTTGTGGTAAACTTTCTAAAAGCAAAGTGACAAGTGAGGTGAAAACACTTCAGTTGGTCGGAGGGTTCTTTTTAAACAACACAAAAAAGTGAATGTCCTATTTATAACATAGATATATGTGAAACATAAAAATATGGTTGTTGAAGAGATATTCTTACTAAAACATTGGAAAAGTGAGCGAATCTCGGCCCAGATTTAATCCCAATGGGATATAATCTTTTACGGAGATTAAATGCTTTAATACTGACTGAAATTTATTACAAAATAGTTTCGCCTTTTATTTATAGAGCTTTACAAATATTTATGATATTAATTTGCTTAAAGCTTTATTTGACTTTTTTAAACATTTCATTTTTTTTTAATTCAAAAAAACAACGAACTGATTTTTATATTTTTTTGGAAGTATACTTCTTTTGGCACGTTTGAAAAAAATATTAGAGTAACATTTTTACGATGCGCGCGCACACCGACAGCCAAAAAGCGACATGATAAAGTTAGCTGCATTTCTTTTAGAAACAGATAGTTGGTGCCATTCGGGATGAAATCTTGAGCTAATTTTGTTCTGTTATGTCAAAGAAGTATAATAGTCTGCTAGAAAGTGCATAGTATAAAATTTTATTTTAAGCTTTTGCTAGAAGTCCGATACCAGTTTTAAGACTAGCAACTTTAAATTTTTAAAGTATTTTTGATTTGATCTAGGTATGTAGGTTTTGTAGATCATGTTTTCTTTCTATCAATTGTATTCGGAGCGCCTTATTAATCCTAAATAATACTCGTGTGACTTGTTTATACATACTTGTCCGTACATAAGACGCAGCACCTTGTGAAACTTTGCCAAAAAGTGTATGAAATTTCTCTTTTTAATGTTCCATGTCCTTGGCAAATGCTTCATCTACACCTACATATAACGAAATTCTAACTGAATCGAATCTGTACATTGAATATTTTTTGGTAAATTTTATTGAAATAGTCATTAATATATATACAGAGGCTGAATATATAGTTTTTAGAATTTTTGTCTGTCTGTCTGTCTGTCTGGGAACGCATCATGAGAAACCCACTGGACAGATTTTATTGAAATTTGGTATGATGATAGCTGGTTATCCGGGACAATATATAGGATACTTTTTATTGTTGAAAAATATCCCATCTCTGAGAAATCTATATTAAATTCGCAATTACTATTTTTATTTATTTAAAATGCACCCAGATGCATCCGAGCGAAGCGATGGTAAGTCGTAATTATATAATAAACCTATATAGCATATACTGCAAACATTTTATGGTTATAAATCCATGATATACGACTGTAACACGTAGCGACATTCATAACTTACTGTTAGCTTAATCCAACTGTCGCTTGTCATGAGATGTAGACAGATACTTCTTAGTAAAAAGGAATCTTTTGTTTGAGTTTTCGGAAGCTTTAGCTGTAATTTTGATTTTAGCTTTAATCATTTTAGATAAAAGGGTCGCAGATGATAGACAGTCCCTTTTCCTTCACCTATGTTAAATTTAAATTATTTTATACAGAAGATTTACATATTTACGATTTAGAAATTAGGAGGTGGTAATGTAAGTAAAACTAGTGTTTCACTCTCGCTTCGCTCAGTTTCGCCTCTAGAAAAAAAAAACAAAACTATCCCACGGGAACCGTACCTTTTTCCGGGATAAAAGTAGCCTATGTGCTATTCCAGACTATAATCTATCACTGTGTCCAATGTCATCCAAATTCGCTCAGCCGTTCGTATATATATGGCGTGATTGAGTAAGAAACATCCACGCAAACATCTAAACATTCACATTTATAATATTAGTATGGATTTAAAGGCTTTAAAAAGCAAAAAGAACAAAAGTAGACAATTTTCCTTTTTATTATACTTATATGTAGGTATATGCCAACTTGTTTTCTTAATTTACAACTTTTTGGGACATGTTTGTGGTGTCTACATATTATAATGTTTATGTGTTAATGTATCTCGTCTATGAATCTTACTGGAATTACACTCTTAAAGTATAAAAATACCAAACATTTGTATATTAGAATTGAATTGAAGAAGTTAAATTAACTTCTCTTCTGTTGTTATTTTCTTCAAATTAGTTTACCTATTGGTTAACCGCAAGAGATCTACCAGCCGCTGGAGTAGGACACAAATTCAATTATTTGGCGTATTATATTTTAATTGATGAAATATAGGTACGATCGTTTCTTAATATAATATATTTCTTATAATAATAATATTTTAAGTAAAAACTGTTTTGCTGGCGGCGGCACTCTATACCTAGTAGGTAGGTAGATACATCGATATATAATATATTCCATTCAAAAATTCACTTGAATACGTTGAAGTCCGTTATAGTGTGAAGATAAAAACACATTCATTAACTCTATTGCATCATTCAAAAGTTACATTCTGTATAGTACGTGTAATCTGTATATAGCTCGATACCAATCTTCATAGCTCATAACTACTCCTTATAATTGTGTGCCTCAATTAAATTAGTGAAATATAGTAATTATTTTATTAGAATACTATATTGTATTTTAAATTATATAAAAGCGCAGATTGTTGATTAACTTAAGTAAAATGTAAAAAAATAAGTGGTATAGCGTAAATTATATTCTTGTAACAAGATGATGATATGATTACCTGTGTAATTATAAAGCTAAAGGATAATCTTACATAAATTATACATTTAAAGATAAATCTTGGTAATTTGTGTTTTACCTTACACATAAACACAGAAACGTAGCTTTGTATTTACCTCCGCCCCTATAGAAAATATATATTTATAATCGAATTCAAATATTTATAGACCTTCAAGATTCCGAGAAATGCTTTCAACTTTTTCAACATTCTGATTAAACAGTAATGTGTAAAGATAGACTTTATGTATCTTTATTTGTTATTATGTATTTAACATTTTTAGACATAAATGGTTTTATTATTCAATGAAGTCCTAAGTACTCTCTATTATTCAGTATATTTGTCAAAAAGTCAAGCAAATTATTTAGAGTCAAGGAATATTTAAAATTCCGTACATCCCCGTACTGATGGAGCTAAGTAATAATTACAAGCCTGATCAAAATACGAAAGAGTTTACAGACGCGACAATTCTTTGACAGGGAGTGAGAGCGCGAGGGCAGGAGGGCGCGCGCGTTGGCCAGGGCGGAGGGCGGCGAACGGGAGGCGGCAGTCGGTGCCGTGCCGCGCCCGGGCTCGCTGCGCTTACGTAACGATGCTGGACCCCGCGAGCTGATGGCCGCGCTCGTCTGGTGGCTGGCGGCCTGCTGCCTGGTGCGCGCCGTTACCGCCGGCAATCCGGACGCCAAGCGTCTCTACGACGATCTGCTCTCCAACTACAACAAACTAGTCCGCCCCGTCGTCAACACCACCGACGTCCTTCGCGTCTGCATCAAGCTCAAGCTCAGTCAACTCATCGATGTTGTAAGTTTAGCCCGAAGCCTCCCAAATCGCGACCCCCGACTGACCTACATCGAAAGCCGAGTGCATTGCGAATGCAATGGTTGCACTTGCGCGTCGCATTTAGTATTTAAATAGACACAAATCACTACCGACCCACTTTCAGCAAAACAAAGCGTTACTCAAATCTTATAAAAGCTTTTGAAGTGGGATTATTCAGTAAGTGTCGTCTTCGCGCCTTCTCATATCTTCATTCTGCGAGGCGCCGCGCTGTCTCCCGTTATATACTTTGAATCAGATTCCATAAATCTTCCCAATGGAGGGGACCGTGCGATTCTTTTTGATGTTATTTGAATTTCTTTCGGCAGCGAATCGATGTTAGCTTGTGAGATTATATGTATATGCAATTAAGCATTCAAACTAAAAGTAAACCTTCTACATTTAATCAAAAATAAAAATACTAAATATAAATACATACATATATAGGTATTATCTACACATATAATAGAATTCTAAATGAGTCTAATCTGTACATTCAATATTTTTTGGAAATTTCTATTGAAATAGTCATTATTATCGATACAGAGCCCGAATCTATAGGTTTTAGAATCTTTGTCTGTCTGTCTGTCTGGGAACGCATCACGAGAAAATCACAAGACAGATTTTGATGAACTTTGGTATGAGGATAGCTGGTTATCGGGGTCAACATACAGGATACTTTTTACTGCAGGAAAATATCTTATCTCTGAGTAATCTATATAACTTTAAAACGTAAAAAGGACAAACTTGAGCGGAGCGAGGGTGAGTTACTAATAAGTTTTTATATAATTGTATTGAAAGTTGTATCCAAATCGTTTGGCGTTTCCGAGATATACAAAATAAATTTTATGTGTCATATATACAAGAAGTGCACGTTTAATATTATAAGATAAATACACTTAATATACATATAAATATAATGTACACTGTATACATATGTACATATATGACTATGACGTATAAAAATATAAACTTAGGTACCTACTTAGTATACCTTTTATTATTATGGACATAAAAATATCCCTCATCGGCTAGTTAAATCTTGAATGATGGCTTACTACTAATCGAAGACCATTATGCAAAAAATCTGCCGGATACTTGACCTAATATTGGATTCTCCACGATCATTTGCAATATAGTCTCAGCTTCAATCGTGTGTTTAATTTTCACATAAATTATGACAGAAATAATCATTAGTTTATTTTTAAATAAAACTTAAATATAATATAATAAATAGTTTCAAAATAATACATATAATAAACAATAAGGAATAATATAAAGCAACAGTATTTCTAATAGGAGATATTGGAAACCTCAGTCGCTGAAAGACATTCATTTCACGCTCAATGTATGCACTAAAAGCAAAATGAGCTATTGATTTTATATTTTTCTTTGTTGCCGTCTGATGACAGTCGTGTTGAAAAAACGGAGTTTTCATTCATATTAAAGTTTTCAATATATTTGAGAAAGGTTTTTATCATTTTACTCATTTTGGTACACTAGGTGTTTTAAATAAAACATTAGCAACAAGTGTCTTACAAATAATCATTTGCAAAAGTATAACATTATCTATTACTTTTTTTGAATATTTGACATTATAAATAAAACTATTTTTTCGGATTTTTTCGCGGACTTATTTTGATTTTTGGTTCCCGACGTTTCGACTAAGGTGTTAGATATCTCAAAGATATTATATAGTTGTTACAGACAGCCTACACACAAATAACAAAATGAATTCAAAAATTCGAAAAATGGCACCAAAGTACCTTACAATATTTTTTAATTTTAAAATATTTTTATAATTTTAATTAGTTTTATAATTGAATATGGAATATTATTTATTTAATTTTAGCTGTTATTATTATAATAATTAATTAGTAATTTATATTTAGTGTTGCCATTATTATATTTATACCATAAAGAAAATATAAAATATTAATTATTTAAGGCACATAATTGTTCTACGTGTTATTAAAAAAATTAAACTTAATTAAGAATAATATTTTTAATTTAGTTTGCTATTATTTAAAAAACAAATTATTAAGCAACATTATTACTACATACATTTACAAATAAAAAATGAAATATATGAAATACAGTTAGGACCACCCAAGCCATTATATTCGCTTCGATAGACCTCAAATCCTCGCGAAAGAAAACCGATATCGCCCTAGAATGATTCGAGAAGCCATAGAAATTAAAAAAAAACATCCAAATTTCAAAAGGGAAGATAGCTGGGTACTACCATCGTCATGGAATCCTGTTATTAGTATAATAAAATCAAATAATAAATCTAAACACAACAGAAAGATGTAAAAAACACACATACATTAAATATTTTTTGGAAACCTTATTGAAATACCTAGTCATTATTATTGATACAGACGCTGAATCTATATATAGTTTTTAAAATTTCTTCTTGTTTTTCTGTCTGTCTGAATGTGAAAAATGAAATTTTGCTATCATGATAGCTGGATATCCGGGTCAACATATAGGATACTTTTTACTGTGGGAAAATTTCTCATCTCTGAGAAGAGAAATTTATATAATATTAAACACATTATTCTAGAGACAACGAGGTAGAGACACCGTAGGTACTTTTTAATAATACAGAGCACCTTACACGCCACTTAATATTTAACAAGTACTAATATATTTTATAGAAATTATAAATATTTCTAATGAATGATTCTTTTTTTTTCATTATTCAGTTTTAAAAAAGATCAATTCCAAACCAAAGTAAAAAGATTTACGACTTGGAACAAAAACTTGCTGAAAGCACAACAAACTCGATTTATTATGTCACTACGAATTTTTAGCACCATTAGTCTTTACGGTAATAGATAAAAGAATTAAGTAGATATAACGTGGAAAACGCAAAATGATACGAAAATGAAATAAATATAAATAAATAGAATATGTTAGGATATTATTTATTAATTATTTTTCAAATAGTAATTTAATGACCATGTTATTTTGTGATGAACAACGAAGTATCTATACAAAAATAAAACAAAAAGATAGAGTTTATTTTAATAATTCAGTGGTAACAAATTAATACTTTCTTAGATTTACGCGAATATTTAACATTTTAAATAATACTATATTTTAGTATTTTTTCAAGGATTTATTTTGAGTTTTGCTTCATATGGTAAAGAAATAGTTTTATTTAAGATGGTAACAATTACTTAAAGCCCTAACACCTGAACTAGAAAGTCTGTGTTTTAGGAGTAGAGGAGGATAGTATCATCCCATACCAAATAAATTTATAAACCCCTTATTATAATAATAATGACTATAAAAAGGTTTATTTTAACTTAATAAGCATGATACTTTCTTAGATTTACGCGAATGTTTGACATTATTAAATAAAACTATCTTTTCGGATTATTTCGCGGATTTATTTTGATTTTTGGTTCCCGACGTTTCGAATGCTTTACAGCATCCATGGTCACGGGAGAGACTGAGGTGTTACATGTCTTAAAGATATAGTTGTTACAGACAGCCTACCCACAATTAACAAAATGAAAATTGCACCAATTACATTACAATATTTTTAACTTTAAACATTTTTTATAATTTTAATTATAATTGAATATGGAAAATTATTTATTTAATTTTTGCTATTATTTTTATAATTATTACAATTTTAAAAATATTAATTAGTAATCTATATTTAGTGTTGCCATTATTATATTTATAACCATAAATAAAAATATAAAAATATAGTATTAATTATTAAAGCCAAATAATTGTTCTATGTGTAATTTAAAAAGTTAAAATTAATTACGGATAATCATTTTAATTTAGTTTGCTATTATTTAAAAACAACTTACTAAGCAACACTATTTATATATACTTTTACAAATGAAAAATATTAATCTGATAAGCTGTCATTTTGATCTACACAGTATGAACTTACTACATCTGCTTGTCTGTTATGTTTATATTTATTATTTGATTTTATTATATTAATAACAGGATCCCATGACGATGGTAGTACGATTGTGGGCTCTCTTACATTGGACAAACAAAGCGATCCATTAGAACCCGGGTCAAAGAACACATAGCTGATGTGAAGCACCGTCGCAATACAACATCTGCTGTCTGCAAACATAGCCAGGACCGCCCAAGCCATTATATTCGTTTCGATAGACCTCAAATCCTGGCGAAAGAAAACCGATATCGCCCTAGAATGATTCGAGAAGCCATAGAAATTAAAAAACATCCAAATTTCAATAGGGAAGATGGCTGGGTACTACCATCGTCATGGGATCCTGTTATTAATATAATAAAATCAAATAATAAATATAAACATAACAGACAGGCAGATGTAGTAAGTTCATTCTGTGTAGATCAAAATGACAGCTTATCAGATTAATATTTTTCATTTGTAAAAGTATATATTAATAGTGTTGCTTAGTAAGTTGTTTTTAAATAATAGCAAACTAAATTAAAATGATTATCCGTAATTAATTTTAACTTTTTAAATTACACATAGAACAATTATATGGCTTTAATAATTAATACTATATTTTTATATTTTTATTTATGGTTATAAATATAATAATGGCAACACTAAATATACTAATTTTATTTGATGATGATTACTAATTAATATTTTTAAAATTGTAATAATTATAAAAATAATAGCAAAAATTAAATAAATAATTTTCCATATTCAATTATAATTAAAATTATAAAAAATGTTTAAAGTTAAAAATATTGTAATGTAATTGGTGCAATTTTCATTTTGTTAATTGTGGGTAGGCTGTCTGTAACAACTATATCTTTAAGACATGTAACACCTCAGTCTCTCCCGTGACCATGGATGCTGTAAAGCATTCGAAACGTCGGGAACCAAAAATCAAAATAAATCCGCGAAATAATCCGAAAAGATAGTTTTATTTAATAAGCATGTTTTATTTCTTAACGAAAATATTTCACGAAAATTAATGATCTTATTTTTTAAATAACACGACGGA